AAACATTAAAAGCATTTGAATAAGGTATTAGGTGACAAATCTCGCGAGATGATGCCATCATTTCTTAGTTTCTTTACAACCGCTTTACAACTAACATGGTTAACTATAATAAAATAAAGATCATGACTATTACTCAGTTAAATAAAAGCAGAAATTTTCATGTCGAAATTGGAGAGACAAATGCAAGGAGAATTTATGCTGTACAAACGTTATGTAGATGATACTCTTATTATTGGTAATAATAGTAAATCTATTGAAAACTTTATTACCCTGTTTACTCATATTCATTCAAATATTCGAGTGACTTCCGAACTAGAATCGAATAACAAACTCGGATTCCTGGATATTACTGTGACTAGGAGAGTTGATGGAACGATTCGGCGATCTATTTTTCGTAAACAGAAATGGAGTGGACAATATCTTCACTTTACCAGTTTTGTTCCTATCCAGTATAAACGTCCCTAGTGAAGTGTTTGTTCTCAAGGGCCCGAAAAATATGCACGAGTGACACATTGATGGATGAGTTTCGACATATACATTCAGTTTTATTAGCTAATGGTTATCCAGAAAACTTCATCAATTGTCACGGTAAGGATAGACCACATCTTGAAAAGACACCTTCTATACCAAAAAAAGTTATCTTTATTAATCTACCATTCAAGGGCGACCAGATTATGCAGTTGACAGCTCAAAGACTTCGGTCAGCCATCAAACGCACATTCTACGCCGCCACATCTCTTTTTCTCACTCCCCGAAAATTTTCGATCCCTGTAACCACGATTAAAGGACGAAATTCTGTGGACGCTACTTCAAACTGTATCTACAAGTTCACCTGCAGTTGCAGTGACACCTATATAGGTAGAACCAACAGAATGTTCCAATGTCGTCGAAAAGAACATGCTCCAAAATGGCTACTAAATCATATCGAAAATCCCAATGCGATTAATCTGAATAGAAATCCAGCATCATCCATTGCAAAACACTTATTAATGTCAGGTCACAAAATCAATATTAATGACTGTTTCAAAATTACTTCACATAACTCTAATTCAAGGTTATTGAAGGTGATGGAAGCACTTTGGATTAATCACATACAGCCTAAACTGTGTGTACAAAAATCAATAGACTTCAATCTTCGCCTATCATGGACTACATGACCTATCTAAATATGATTGGTCATTAGTATGTGCTTTTGTTTTTTATTTAACTGAGTAATTGTCATGATCTTTATTTTATGATTGTTAACCATGTTAGTTGTAAAGCGGTTGTAAAGAAACTACGGAATGATATCATCTTGCGAAATTTGTCTTCTTAATGCCTTATTCAAATTTATTAAAGGGACTAATTGTTCTAATTTAAAGCATTCTCAGGAGATCTAGATATTTAGTTGATTGTGTGGTCTACTTACTTCAGCCTTAGGTTCACTTTAGTTCTGTGTAAAGCGCACTACAGGTTACTGGATTCTAACTCGGCAACTAAATAGTAGACAAGCTTGTTTGGCAATCTAAACGTCCTGGATTTAGTCTACAGTGGGATTTTTATTTTTATACTCACTCCTAAAGAGTTCCAAACTAAGACAAATACGCTGCACGCAGCTCCTGACTTTCAGTGTTTTTTTAATGATACCCATTCGTGACATGAATAGTCTTATCCTTAAGATACAACAATGGAAAATTACATGGTAAATCTTGAGAATATAATTTGATCAATGAATTGGAGACTAGATAACCGTGTAGGTTACTATTAGCCGACTTATGCGTTCACTTATAAAATACTTAATGGTAAAGTTTTAATATCAGTAACAATGCTGAATAATACAGATACACGAAAGCCCTTAACCTTACATGCAGATACCATAAAACGAGGAATCTCGGTTAAAGTAAGTTTCATTTCCCAGTTATGTAAGTTTTTGACCATTTCAAAAGTTGACTGTAATCAGTCAGAATTTTAATTTTAACTTCGGCACCCGTTAACATCCAGTTTTCAACTTATTTATCATTATTTTTGATTCACAGCCTTACATTAATAGCAGATTAACTCAATTTCTCTTGGAATATATATATATATATATATATGTTTGAAAATCGAATTATAAACAAAACAGAAATCAAAACCATAGTAATTGCTTTTAAACGGAAGACAGTCTAACTGTAAAACCTTAACTGGTCTGTATAACACATTCCTCTAAAGACTGGTTCAAACTGAAATGCCTTAAGGGCGGTTTAGGCTTGTATATGTTTCAACCAACTTACAGCGCATCAGCGTGCTGTATATTTTAAGAGTCCACTTATTCTGGTTAAGTTCAAAGTGGCAGACTGACTAACTGACTGCTTTCCAATATACAACATTTGCAAACCATTCAGAAACGAGTAAACAACTAGATGGAAAGCAGAGCAATATTCATTCTCATCAAATATGCATACAATTGATTCCTTAAACGATTCTGAATAACATGGCTGAAATCAAGTAAAAAAGATATTCTAATATTCTAATCTTACGACTGCTAACTGTTGCCTTCCATGAAACTATAATCTACATATTTCTCTTCCCTTTTAAATGTTCAAAAGAACACTGAACTCAGTTTGATTGATTACTTTAAAAATCAATAGCTTAAAATCTTCATCTCATTGCTCTTTAAACCTTATAACTAACTGGCTGAATAATTAATTCTTGAAATTGAATTTATGAAAACACTGGCGTCGTGTTTACAACTTATGTAGGTATATTAAAGGTAGAGTAGATGTTTAATAATCACACCCTACTGGCTAGGCAATAATACAAATCACATTCATTTTGCCTGACACCGAACAAACAGTTTATGAAATATTTTAGTCACTATTTTGTCATATTATGCAATAAGCTAGATAAAGTGTGACAGACATTTCTGAGGATTTACTTCATCGGTCAAGAAGACATTCTTATACATTAAGCACTATTGTTGAGTCCTTTTGTTTCTAGTGGATTATAGGGTGAGGGTGGCCTTTGCAGTTTCATCCTTGAGTTTCTGAGAGTTTGAGTTGATTTGTGACATACTCCCGGATTCCTTGAAGACTTCTAACTTTATCTTGGAAGTTTCTTAAACTAGATAGTTATCTGAATTTACAATTGATCCCCTTCTCGACTGTGTGAAGCAGACTAAGCCTCTATTTTCTTTAGGCTGCAATGAAGTATATCTGATTTTTGACGTTTCCATCTGATGGAAACTATGTAGCCTTGTGCTTATAAACGTTGCCTAGAGTTACCAAATTGTTGAAGCCACAGAATTCTGCAGAGTGTTCTCTGTCTTTATCCACTTCTTTGAAACGTTTTCTCTGGATACGTTATTTGTTCTGTTCCTGTGTCGTTGGCGCCCTGTTTGTCATTTCTGTTAGAATTTTGGTGTCACCATCAGAGTTTTTTCCATTGTAGTTGTCTGTCTTTCTTTCTCTTGTTGGTGTTTAGCATTCTATAACTGTAAATTTCGTTCCTTTTGACCTGAATCTGGATGACTGGAGTAGAGTGCTCACTCTCCAGTTAACAATATGGAGAGTCCACTTCCATTTCATCTACTCTCACAGACTCCTAGCGTTTCGGTAGCATGTCTCTTGATTTCTTTTGCAGTCACAGCGACCATTCTAGCTTCAGAAATCTTGCAAAAATCCCATGTTCTCACGCTTATTTTTGCTTTCATTTAGAGGAGATGCATCAATTGACCTGCGTCCCAAAGGCTTCCATCCGTTCGACTTCCTCGATTTCAATGGAAAATGAGTTTGGATTTTTAGTGCTTTGGAGTTTCAGTAGCAATGGACATGTTTTGTCGGGGTATGCTGCTACGCAAAACTGAATTAAGTGTTTTGAGAAGTGTTCACTAATCAGTTCGCATCACCATACTAACTCGAAATTTGTGATCCATTCACGTCCACGTCGAGACAATCAAAAATCTTGAGTTAATTTCTTCACCAATCACCAGCTCTATAAGGCAAAATCTGTCTAATTTATTTTTTGATGTATTGACTTATAAGTTTGAAAATAAATTTAATTTTATTGACAAAATAGTCTCTTCCGTTTTTTGCAACTGGCTTTCAAAAACCACAAGATGATAAACTAAAATTAAGAAAGAAATAGCAGAGATCTAGCCCAGATCAAAAATCGAGAAACTCAAAAGAAACATTTAGAAATGTTCTGGATATTTCTCACTATTGTATACTAGTGACGTTTATAAATTACATTAGGCAGTTTGACCCCTAGTGAAGGAAATACGAATACGTTGTATGTTGACCCACTGACGTAGACACGTCAGCGGCTTTTGTAAGACTGAATTTCCAACAGTGTGACCAATCATCATTACTGAGTTTACAAACTGTATGAGTTTAATTCAACCAAGCAATCTATACATCTTTTGACAGCTAAATAATAGGTATAATACCCACATTGATGTTCATTGAATATGCCTGGTAACTAGTCAGTTAATATGATGTATATATGAAGTAAGAATCTACATGATTTAAGGGAGATAGATCTCCACTGTTAAGACTTCAGGATATGTTACATGTTACTGACCGCCTACTGGAAAAATTATTTCAAATAGAGCTAAAATTCTTAATCTTCAGTTAGATTATCAGAAACTTTCTTCATTCCTTGCGTTCCAAGAGGAATAAAGGGTCTTGGACATGCAGTTTTGTAGTTTCAGAGGCTGAGATGTTGCTAGTAGCTGCGCACTCAACCTTCTCCACCTTCCTAGCTTAATGCTGTCTAGTAAACTAGCCAGAGTTTGGGAATGTGTCGGCCAGGTATGGGTCCCCGAACCTTCTCTGTGGTTGGTGATCATTCTACCACTCAACCGATGACGCACAGCAGAAACTTACATTGAACGAAATTTGCTGAAACCACCATTTTATAACCTCTAACTTAAATCACTTACTCCAAAAGACATCAAAGTTGCCTTGTCAATACGAATAGAAGATTGTGCATCACCAATTTATGATGGTGTATCTTTTTTTCTTCTCCTTTCCTGTCAACAGAGCTGGTCAAAAACTTACAATTACAAGTAATTCAAAACGAAAGCGTAAATCATCGCATAATGATGCCGGTGATATAAGTCATCTAACTGGATACATCACCTCCCAGTCATATCGTCATAATCAACATTCAAAATGTATAACAAGCTTTTCAGAAGCTGTACATCATCATCCACCACCGATGCCACCAACTCTTCTGAAATGGGGTCGAAATGGTTCTAACAGTTCTGTAATCAATAATAGAGTTGGAAAAGTAAGTGAAACTTTTTGTTCCCCGGAAGGATTCAACCAATAGTATAATTAATTATATTGCCCTATTTTAAATGAACCTCGAATTTGAAATCTTAAATCTTAGGAGTATTCTGATGAAAAATTGAAACATTTGACTAATTATTAGAAATGATTGAAAATATCGATTTCTTAAAAAAAATCTAATATATTGCAGTAGCTAATGATTATAATTAATTGTATTGTTGATTTAGTTGAATCCTTTCTTTAAAAAATTTAAGAATAAAAACATTTATCTAATGAATTTAACTTTTAGTCTAATTAGTAGTGTTTATAGATTCTACTTCAATGATTCACTTGAATATATATCAGCTAATTAAATTAGTGAATGGAAAAAAGTGAAGTTTTTCATGAATTTTTGTTTTTCGTTTATTTTACATCCTTACATATAATTTTTACTGGGACGTTAAATATTCACCTTGTATATTTTATTCAAGTACTTGTCACGCTTTTACGTTTAATCATCATATTAGGGAAATCTTGTTAGTTTATTTGACAACAGGCCTGTATAAATCAATGAGTTAACTAATTTTAAACGGGACACAGTACATCGAATTCATTCAGTTATAGTTTGTTTTAACCACCGTTTTAAGCGTCCATGATGAATAATCCACATTCACGTACATTTTTGAATGGCTTTCAACATAAAACGTATTTTGCTTGGAAAGAAAGAATATGACGGGAGTCCAAGCATCTTCCAGCTAGAACTAGAACTTCATCAAATGATTTACTGATTTGATGGGGCATTATTTTGTAACTGGTGTCACGTATCTAGTCCATGTTTTGGTTAACATCGAACTATACCAGTCACGTTTGCAATGTTGCCACCATACCGGATGGCTGGACATCACGATACACTGTAAATTGCTGTTGTCAGATGGTTGGAGGCATCGACAGGAAGTCTTAGACCTAGGTTTTGTGCTTCTTGGCACTCACTAGTTAGCAAGGAGTATCTGCAGTTTTGATGGAACTCAAGCCGATTTCCCCCTAGCCATCTAACAACACCAATTCACAGTGCACCGTGATGTCCAGCCACCTAGCATGGTGGCCACATTGCAAACCTGACTGATAGAATTCAGTCCTCACCAAAGAAAGGACTAAACACATCACACTAGATACTAGTGTCCAATCATAGTATCTAATAAAGTTCTGTAGATGTCAATCGCGTGCCAAAATAGCTCAGTGGTAACGCCTCTGACTGCAACACTGGGTGACACAGGTTTGCATCTCAGGAGGGACATGAGTCTCCTTAAGGTTGCAGAAACGCCTTGCTGACTGATAAGTGCCAACTAGTACGAAGCCTAGGTCAGGTGTGGCTTCCTGCTGAGTGCCTCCAGCCGTCTATAATGATTTATTGCAGAATACTGTTTTACTTAGAGATTTTATGTAAGTAGATAAATCCCATCTGAAAATTATGCACTGTATGTAAAAATATTCAGAATAAAGCCATTATCACTTTTATTAATTCTACTTTACCAACATAAAGGAACAGTACTCTAAGAGATGTTGATAATGAGAACACCTGTAATTTAGTTTTAATAATTATAACTTTTAATGTTATGTATACTGTAGTGGGTTGTAAACTTCGCCATCACTCCACATATATCAACTTCATGGAGTGGTGAATCTTCTTGTGTTTACTGCCTTCATATGGCAGCAAATTATGTATTTGTTTTGGTAAGAACGACTCATATATGAATCAATCTATTCATTCGACAGTTTTACAAGTAGTTTACAGGAATAAAAATACTTTTGGTCTTCCTTTGCGCTACTTTTGTGCAGCAAACTAAAATGCCACCACATAGGTTCAGTTCTAAAAACGTATCTATCGTCGTCATCTACTTCGTCATCTAGAATAAGAAGAACTGTAAACATTTTTGGCTGCTGCTATCTTTTTCCCACTTCTCTGAATGTTGTCACATTTATCTGCTATTCACGGTGATTTACAGACTCTGTATTATTTATTATTCCTTCCTTGGGTTCCAAGTGAAATGTAGGGCTTCAGAAGGACCTCTCTATTTCTTTCTGTCCTCTACAGTTTTTAAGCTGGCTTCACGACTGCTCATAAGCTTTCACTTCCTCCTCACACGACCTCCTCCGTGTCATCTTTGGGACCTCAACTTGGCGTTTTACACTCCAATCTTATTCGAAGACCTAGTGCATGATATCACTCAGAGGTCTCCTGGGCGCATTTTCAGTCCGTCGCCACTTTCTTCGGCATATTTTTGGAGGTAGTTTTTGGTTGGTTAGTTGCTGGAGTGGGGTAGCATATTAGAGATACGATTCGAACCAGTGTTTGCCACTTAATTAAAATGAAAGTGTCTGTTCTACGGGTAAACAGATGATTCTGCATTATATGCACTCGCTCATCCCTTACCATATGCTATACATTGTGTTGAAACTTTGATTTTAAAAAGTATTTAACTTGTTTAAGTGTTGGTTTGTAGGGATTTGGTTGGTTACAGGATTTCATCATGAGCTGACATTGGTTAGAGAACCATTCTAAACCCTGCAGGGAGTACTGGACAGCTGTTTCGTCAGCCTACTTTGAGACTATTCAGCAGTACGCACCCACCGCCAGGGTTCTAACCCAGGACTTTTGGTCACAAGGCGAGCTTGTAGACCATTAAGCCACTAGGACCTGATCCAATGGCCACCCCATGAATTCTAGCTTCTGCCAATTCATGACATTGCGCGACCCCTAGCCAATGTCTTCGGCGAGTATTTTTCCTCCCTTCCGACCTGCTGCACCTTACTGGTCACGACTTTACCTTGTGTTTTAAATTGTGTTTTTTATTTCAAAACTCACAGGTGAAAGTAATATTGCAATTACATTCAGATCATGAAACAGATAAAGAAACTCAGAAGGCATCTTGTTTAACAATAGAAAAACGCAAAAATCAAGTTTGTTTGACTGATCCCAATGTGAACAACAGTGAATCATCGTCATCACCAAAACGCACAAATATGCATGGTCCAAAACTTTTTGCAATGGATGGAATTTTCACTGAAGAAGACTCAATGGTAAGTCACTCGATTTATGCTACAATTAAACGCCATCTGTATTGATGTCTGCAAGCATTATCATAAAAATTATAAATTAATTTATTGTCCGTAATATTTTGCAGTTAGAAATATATCCACTAGTATGAGCAGGCTATTTTTCAATAAAAGATTCGTGTTATTAGTAGGATAAATAGAAATATTAAAATTTAGTTCCAGTATATGAGTAAAACTTAAGACTATCCAACGTTATGCACTTTTCATCACTGCGGAGTAAACATTTCCACACATTAAGTCCTTATTCAGTTATGATACTAAAGTTTCTAATATAGTCAACAAGTTGAGAGACCTATTGTAACGGTGTACGTTAAATTACTATGAAATGGTTAAAGATAAGTCTCTGAAAGCCAATGAACTTGGCTTTTATTGCCTTGGTACTGCTCCTTGTCAAGAATTTAAGGAGCGCGACTGGGAACTATATCAGTGAAGTATCAGTGTAAATCCTAAAGGAAAATAATAACAAGTTTTAGAAAGCTAAGGGATATAGCCTTTGACTGTAGTGGTGGGTGTAGCAAGTTTGACTCACTGAAGGTTTCAGATACATCCTTCTGACAAGTGCCAACACGCAGGAGATCTAGCTTTAGAGCTTCCTGTCGTCTGCCTCGAGGCAACTAAGTGTTGTCCAAATTTGCTTACTAAATATAGTGTAGCAGCTACATACATTTTTCATAACATTTTATTGAAGGAATTAGAGGAAAATAAGTTAATATAGTATGATCTACATGATGTCTGCAAAAAGTCTTGATAGACCATATGTCTTAGCACCTCCCACACAGATTCAACAGTCTCCAGACTTTATCTTCCCACAAAATGATAGACAACAATTTACTGTCTATTTTCTCCTTCCACTGTCTACATATGTGGGTGTTAGTTATCAGTCTTAATCCCCACTTTTTGTCACACTGAGTTATTCCATATCATTGGGCGTGTTGGGCGTTCTATATCATTGTCTGTATCTGTCTGCCTGTCTACATGCCATGATACTAGTTTTTGTGCTATTACCAGGAGAAAACAAAAGTTTCTTGACTCTATCCTCAAGAGAATTACACATACATGTTAGTGTGATATATCTATAAATAAAAATATAACAAATGTCTATTGCTAACGCATCGCTTTATGATTTTTCTAATATTCTCAATTCCTGTCAAAAACACTTCCCAAAAATTTTTAAAGAAGACATTTTTTATAAATTCAATTCTCCTGCTGACAAGTGAATCAGTAGATTCAAGGGATGAATTATCAAGCGTGAATGACTTTCCTCATAAAATGATATTTCACCTCTTCTTTTATATTATTTATAGGCGGAACTGTGTGCATTCGCTCTAACTGACATCATTCAGTCTGTAGTGAACGGATCGGATGGTTGTCTCATTTCCTTTGGAACACGTGATTCAAGTAAGTAAAATTTCTGAATTTCTGGTTATTGATTTCGGAATTCATATAGTGACAACTGCATATTTTCTTTTTTTTCTTTTCCCTAACCTTGATATCAATATGATACTTATGCTTAACATCAGTTACATTTTGTACTTAATTCCCTGATGAGAGATTCTAATCTACGATAACCAGTTGCAATAATCTTAGAAAATAATGATTAAAATGTTAATGAAGAATTTATTGAAAATATTGCAATTCACAGTGGAAAATATTACACTCACATCTAAATACTCTTCGTCTTAAGTACTGATAATTTCAAAATGTGTTAATTTTGTTGATAGTCTCCATTCAAAATTCATGATATACACACTGTTCCATGTACCTATTTAATTGATTTTTAGATTATTGCATCGACTAATTGGACCGAAGTACTCTGTCTCAGGTTGACATGTTTGGCTTCTTTTGCAGATGTTTTGACAATGTCTGAACATTCAATTAGAATTTAATTGATGGGTGATGACTAGCAGTGGAATGCAGGTACATCCAGATGACGAGTCCAAAATAGGATGAAATGCGCATCCTGGATTACACTGCTAGTCATCATCCACCAATTAACTTCTAATTCTAAAATAGCGTATTTAAGCTAAACACGTTAGTAGGAAAACGAAAGTTTCCACAGTAATGTGATATGCGAATAAAGCATAACAATTTCAACCTACGATTTTTGCCAAGCGGAGAAAGAGGGTGATAGATATAATGGCCAACTTACTCAAAGATAAGTAATGAATATTTAAGGATTTTGTTGACCTTATTAAACAAGATAATGTAGTCCACTCATTATCGTATACCAGATATAACAGCGTGTAGATTAGTCTTGTAATTTAAACAAAATCATTCACGTCATCAGGGTGTGGAAATTCAGCTGCAACCAAATTAAGTAAGTTGTAATCATAAAATCTGGTGGAATAGAGTCACATTTGCATGAATTAACATGAATAAGTGGAATAATAGGCTGGTTGATACATCTCTGCTCATCAAATAGGTAAATGCATTAGGAAAAGCGTATTTACAATAACTAAGAGAAGAAAAGCACCCTTACTAGCACCCTTAATTTCAGCACAAGAATGTTTGTTAATGTAACGATACGATTCAATTCAGGAAGTTCTGTGAGCACTATGGTTATCCAAGCCTTTTCCATAGTGGTGATCACAATGCAAACTTGTAGAATTTGCTCTGTCAGCAGATGGAACTCTAATACTTCACACTTATTATTCAATAATAATCATGCAATATACACATAAGATCATAAGACATGTAAAAAAAAGCGATTGCACCTGTACATTCGTATGTTTATAGGAAATGGGTAAGAAACAATAGACAATAAGAATCAACAAACGCGCATCATATAAAAAGAAAAAAAGTTCAGTGGAGAGTTAGTCTTTTCTGCCATTATCAACCAAATAACACCACGTTAATCATTAAATGCTGAGTACTTTGGTCCAATATAAACCAAGCAATAGGAAGTACAAATTAACTTGGACAAATGTATCTGATTAGTTGGATTAAGAGTTTTAAAGTCTACCGGTGTTTCAGTGGTAGAATGCTTATCAGCAACACACTCGTTCTGGGTCCTATTCCTGATCGATACTCGCCTAAACCACACCTAGACGGTAGTAAACCCAAAAACGAAAGAAAGTTAAGCGTAAAGCCAATGACCACACGCCATGAACAAAGAACAATAGAGCTGCTACTGAGACAGGAAAACATGAAACCCTATGTTACACTCTGTATGCAGGGACTGTGTAAAAAGGATTTTTCGAAGTCTTTCACGTTGTCTTACTGATTTAACTCCTCGAGTGTCCAATAAGCAACACTGTGTGCCTTTCAACTACTCTTACAATGCAGCAAAGTATATCATGTTTTGGTCACAGGATTTCATAATGAGCTGACATTGGTTTGAGAACCATTGGAAAACCTGCAGGGAGTACTGGACAGCTGTTTCGTCCTGTTTTGAGACTCCTTGGCAGTACGCACCCACCGGAATTTGAACCAGGACCTGTTGGTTACAAGGCTAGCTTGTAGACCATTAAGCTACTGGGACCTGATCCAATGGCCAGCCCACGAATTCCAACTTTTGCAAATTCATGTTTTGTTTGCTCATTTTTCAACATCATGTGTTGAACTAAGGGTAATAATAGTTCTTCCATGATAAATTCTTCATTATTAGCATCATTAAACTGAGAAATCAATTTATTTAACATTATTATTTATTTATTTCATGTTCGTCATCCAATTTTTTATATATACAGATAAATAATTGTCATACAAACAAAATAAAGAAAAATTGTTTAATATTCCATTCATCATTATTTTACTCTGCATTCTAGTAATAATTTCTACTCTATATGACACTATCTATTTAACCAATTTCCCCGCTTCACTGATTATGATTTAATGTGAATATAATAAACAAAAAACTTGTTTTAGGATTTATACAACTATTTTTTGTTTCCACAAGTTCTTAGCTTTTATGTCAAAAAAGGAAAGTTATATCAGATTTAGAGTAGGCGCGTATAAATTGTTTTTAAGCGGTATTTACAAACTGTCAGTATTATCCTATGTGAATTAAAGCTTTTAAAAATGTGAATTTCTTTTTTTCAAATCTAGGCTGTGTTGATTTACCTCAAACCAGTCATACTTGTTAGCACTTTTTCTGTTTAAATATATATATATATATGTATATATGTATATCTTATCTGACAGTCACTTTGATATATTGACAAGCAATAGTGACAAAGACTACGCATTCATCTGCGTTCTAGAGATTTGGTTAGGCGCAAATATATTGCCCTACATTTAGCAAGAATGAACGTTTATTTATTGACAACATTTGTCTTTAGTGAATGACTTTCTTGTTGAAATGTCGTTATAATAGTTATGCTATTTCAGCCTACTACACCTACGAATGTATTTCAAATTGAAATAGAATGGTAATATTTTTTGTGAGTTGTCTAACTTTTCCGGCTATAAAAACATTAAGAAATTATTTTATGACAATATATTTGGTATTTAAATTTTTTAGAATAAACTTTGGTATCATTTCTGGTTAATAAAATGGTCTAGGAAACAGGCACAACAATTTTCTACAGTTATTGCTTCCTTTTCAAGTCTTTTTCTGTAATCCATCAGATCACTGCGAAGTTAAGTTGCAACAGGGTCTCTCGCATATTTCATATTTCGACTACATACCTGAGAAACCTTATATCGGTGGTTCAGTTGTAGGATACTGGCCAGCCAAGCAATTGGCCTGGAGTTCAATCCCCTTCCAGAGTATTGGTTTGTCTAAGTTAGCCCGTAGTAAGCCTAATGTAGAGGAGGTTGGGAATGAGGTTAGCAACCTCATTCTGTAAAAACAGTAATGCTACTGAAACTTTTAAGGTCTAGCTTAAAGCCGTGTGTTCCGCTGGCAATGCAAGGGAATAAAATAATAAAATGTAACTTGATAAATCATTCAACAACAATTTAATTGCAGAAAATAAAAGGTTTCAGTGAAATCACTTACAGTTTAAGTAGGGTTAGAATAGTTTTCTCTATCTCTGATAACAAACAGTTTACATCTTCAAGAAATAGGTTTTACTTACTGGTAATTTCTACGCTGTTAAGTGCTTACATTTCTAGTAGTCGGAAGTTTGATATCTTATCAAGTTACAAGTGGCTACTATATGAACTTTCAGGGGTTGTATGTATATCACTCGATTCTTATATACTAAACGTCACTGGATAGTAACCAGTGGTATCACGTTGTTTCTTTCCGTCAAAGTCCTGCTAAAGTCATTGTGACAAATAACTCGGTATAAGGATGTTTATGTATGTGAATTATTAGGCTTCAGTTAATACTTGTTGAGACTTATCAGTTTTGTACATTTAAAGCAGCTGCAAAACAGAATTGATGCATATTATGTAGAAATACTAAAATTAAATAGTAATGACTTTAGCCTGCTCCTGCGGAGCCAGTTCCATAGGCCGTACAGTTAGGCGTGTTTTTCGTCAAATTTCCGAACATCACCCCGTGTAGTTAGGTAAGGACGAACCAAATCTATTCGTAGCGCTATTCTATCTCATGCTGTTGATTCAGAACATAAGATTCATGTTAAAGAGGCTTTCAAAGTCATTTGCAGCATACCAACTAATCTTAACTTCACCTCAAGAGTTCGTCTACTAGATATATTACTGAGGCAGTTGGAATCCACATAAAGAAATCCAACTTATGTATCCAAAGGAAGCTGGTTTAGACACTGCGCTTACCTTGGCCATCAAGGTTCTAATAATCCTCAATTTATTGTGGAAATTTGCTTAATTTTATTTGATATTCTATTTGCTATTATATTTGTACGCTTATTATAATTTATGCATCTTTAGTGAACTGTAATTCCATTGATCATACTTTACAAATTGATAATATTTAAAAAACACTAATAGTGTTACTGACTACTATTCTAGAATATTTTAAGTATATAAACATGTAAATAACTGTAGAGCCAGAAGAGGAAATCATCAAAAAGGATATTCTTTGCTCAATTACTTTGTGTTTTATGAGTCTTCGTAGATCATTTCCCAGGTTCAAATAAATGACTTGATGAGATATCTGTTGAAATAAAGATGGAAGTACTTAAACTTATTTCTCCCAAAATATAAGGTACTAGAATCAGAACATATGCTTTATGTGAGAGTGAATTTACCAGTTTCATTTAGGTTTTAATTTCCTGTTTTAATTAATTTGTTGAAACTACTGATATCATAGAGTACATGAAGTATGCGGTTAAAACATACGGACTCTACAAAAAGTCTTTCATCAACCTTAGAAATCACAAATAAAAAAGTCTTCCATAGAGAATCTGAATATCGTTACAGCTTAGAGGATGCAAATTCTAATTTATGCATAAACAAGCATTTATAAAGATCAACTGTTAGTTTGCAGGGATTTGATTGGTTACAGGGTTCATTAGGAGCCGACATCA